CTGAGGGCAACTGCAGCTTTCTAGAAGTGTGGTTAAAGCACTCAGGGTCTTTGTGCCTTTCCCAGTCTGAGGGCAGCAAGAGCAGTACCACTCTGCAGTGGCCATGGGAGTGGGCCTTCAGTTGTCTCTGGGACCTCTGTCTCAGAGAAACACAGAGCCCCTGCCACTGGAAATGTTCAGTCAGGGGATGAGACAAATGCACTGCTGGCCTGAGCTAGGGGCCCTGCTTGGTGAAGAATGGAGGTTCAAGAGCTTATAGGGAGGAGAGACTGAGCTTCTCCCTGTATGGTGGCTGTGGTGTACTGGGAGCACATGTGAAGCCCTCAGACTGTTTCTTCCCTGTACCAAGGGCAGCAGGAGCAGAACCACTGCTGTGGCAATGACAAGAGGGGCTGTTCATTGCCTCTGGGAGCCTTCACCAGGGAACCTCAGAGCCAGTACCAGTGGGTGTGCTCTGCTGTGATGAGGAGGCTGATCTGTGGTCCGGAGCCAGAGGCCCTGCCTCATGAAGAGTGGGAGGCCTGGGCTCACAGGGAAGAGGGTCTGGATTCCCCTCCTTATGGTGTGTAGTGTGCTGAAGGTGCCAGTATAGTGACTAGGCCCTTTGTTCCTTCCCCAGCCCCAGAGCGGTTAGGGCGGTACCACTGCAGCTGCAATAGCAGAGGGATTGTGGGTTTTCTCTGGGAGTTCCTGCTCTGAGAACTGCAGAACCACCTCCAACGGACAAGTTCTGGTGGGGACAGGGTAGTTGTGTTGGGGTCCCAGGTCACAAGGGCCCCCCGGTAAGGAGAAACAGGATCGGAGACCTGTGTGGAAAAAGATCTGGCTGCTTTTTCCACAGGGCAGCTGCATGGTGCTGGGGATCTGCACCAGTCCCTTGTCACCACGCACCCTCTGGAAGCCTGAAGGCAACAGGGGCGAGGGCGGCAAGACAGCAAAAATGGCGGCTTGCCTCTGTGGGCACACCGTCCCAGGAAAACATGGAGCTGCTACCTGCCCAAGAGATGGCTCTTACTATTTTCGGGTATATTCCTCTGACGACTAATCTGGGTTATTATCATGAAGGCAAGTTGATTTTATTTGCATCTGTTGAGATGATCATTCGGGTTTTGCTTTTAATTCTGTTTATGCGGTGAATCACATTTATTGAATTGTGTATGTCAAAACAGCCTTGCGTCCCAGGAATAAAGCCTTCTTGATCATGCTGTATGAACTTTTTGATGTGCTGCTGGACTCAGTTTGCTGGTATTTTGTTGAGGATTTTTATGGCTATATTCATCAGGGATATTGGCCTGAAGTTTTCTATTTTCATTGTGTCTATGCCAGA